TCTGTGGGATTGTTCAGTCAGATAATACGCCGTCATCCTGATTGGTGACATTAAATGTCATGTCGGAGTAAAAATCCAAGGCTGTCGCTATGTTAAGGCTGTTTTTATGGGTTCTGTTGGTTTTTCCTACAAACCTGTCAGATAGCAGGTTTAGGATTGTTAAGGGTCGGATTATGGAGTCCTGACTGTATATTATTATATATATATTATATTATATGCTGACACTGCATCAGAACGTCGGTACTGTAGCTCATACGAATCCACTTCAAGCATCTTATTCAACCTGCTACTTATGCTCCTGCTATCTTCCCTTTTCATACTGAATTAAAATAAATATATATTTGAATCACAACACTTGTAAGTTGCTTTTATAAATAAAGTGAGAAATGAGCTGAAAAAGTGAAACCATTCAATTTTCACTTCACCTGTGCGGTGATGTTTATTCACAGTGTCTATGGAAACGACTATGAGCAGCTTCGTTCTCCTCAAGCCTTGATTATACGTCGCTGCAAACCGACGCTCATACAGCTGCACAGTATATGATATTATATTACTTTCTAGTCGAGGAATGGTTTCATACATGCAGAGTAATTTTCCTCCACACATGCACGTGGAGTGTGTGTGTGTGTGTGTGTGTGTGTGTGTTCTGAGCCGGATCCTTCACATCCTCGTGGACGTGGAAAGCACAGACCTGACATTTGCTTTTCTAACTACATCATTCCTCACAAACGTCCAGGCGAGATTAACACTTGGTTATTTTTGATACGAGGCACATATGCGATCCAGAGACACACGACTGCAGCGTCTCTTACATTAATTTGATCATGTATAAGTGATGATTTGGAACCGTTTCAGGGCACCAGGAGCAGAGCGGTGACGTTCAGACGCAGAGGAAGCTCTGAACAGAAGTGTGCATTCAGCAGCTTGCCGTTACTTCTCCTCCTTTCCTCAACAACATCGAGTGCTTTCTCACACAGCGGTAAACATTTGGGCCGAGAAAAGCACTCTGCTGGTATGATCAATTTATTTTTAGGAACTCGGAATTTCAGAAAACTAAGAAGGGGCAAGAGTCTAAAAACACAAATGCATCTCCATCGGGCTTTTTTTAGAATAACCGCAACTGGAAATGAGTAAAAATCTAATTCCATGCTTTTCAGCGCTCCACTGGAACCTTAAGAACAACAACAAATCTATCGACAATGTACGCTCATGGAGATGGTTAGGAAATAAATACAGGTCCCTAGCTTTATGTACAGCACATTTTATGCTGCTTTATTCTCACATTCTACCACAAATCAGAATAAAACAGCTTTTTACTTTTTACTCCACTACATCTATGTAAAATCTTTACTTTCCTTGATTTGTTTTTTTTGGATTTTACATTAATAAACACATAATAAGCTCACTATTCACTGACTTGAGGCAAATTATCAATGTCACAGGTGTGTATAGGAGCAGTTTTACTCATCACCCTCTCAGCTTCTCACGTGGTTTCACTCACACAACAGCTCAAAGAGGTCAAACCACCTGAAATCTGACAGCAAACGTAAAGGTTCAGATCAAATCTGCGTTTGTTTTTCATGTTTTCCGTTCCATCAGCCACCTCATGACCCCTCAGACCGACTCTGTGAACCCTTTGGAGGGAGCCTGACCCCTCGCTTGGGAACTAAGCTGCATATTAAATAGTTTCCACGTTGACCGGCAGTAAAATGCTGCTTCTGCATCATGTCCAGCGATCCAATAATGTGATGTTCATCAGTCACAGCAGGCTTTACTCTGAAGATCTGAAGATGTGGGCTTTTACATTCGATTTTTTTTACTTCTTATGACTGATATTTAAGTAAACTCTGCACACTTGTTCCACGGCTGATGGAAGATGTTTATGATTCCCTTGGTTTGGTTTAATGGCTGACTTGTTGAGGCAGCTCATTAACAAGAAAGCAGACGATGAAGAAACCTTAACGATTTCTCAACGTGGTCTGAGCTTGAGACGCCCTAATTCTCGCCTTCCCGTCTTTTTCCAGTTTCAAGACAGTTTTTACTCCCAATAATGGATCCCAGGTCACAAGTCAGGCAGAAGTCAGCCTGCACTGTGCACATTTACAGGATTAATATTTAATTTATTTGGTCTACTAGAATGTGTTTATATACCTTCATGTTAAAAAAAAACAAAACACGAGGTTTAAAGCCTCATTTTTTACAGTTGTTATGTAATTGTACAGCACATCACACAGTTTCTAACAGTAACATTCAGGTCAGTCAGGTAAATCTGTGTTATTTGTAATAGTATCTCTCTATTAGTCTCTTTCTCTATTAGAAACCTGAACATCTGTTGTTTAAACTTTGCTGACT